CGAAGCAAAGCTAGAATCGAGTGCAGAGGAGCAAAGACGAACCCGACAAAACTAACAAGACGTTCGGGCGGTTTTGTATTGTGGACGGAGGTTCCTGGCGCAGTCAAGCTTTCCAGCCAAGGCAAGGGAACGCACGCCAGTCCAAGCTAGTGTGACCGGCTGCCGTCCCAGGTCGGGCTGTACTCGTTACACGTAGCTGCATCGCGATCGGGCTGTTTATGACCTGACGTCATCAAACAACCAGATTGGGGGAAAGGAGCAGGTGTGCCCGCGTGCAAAGGGCACGACATGGCTGGTCTGTGCTCTCCGGCTCCTCTCTATGGTGGACCATTGATACATGAAACGCCTTTAACCCAATTGCACGTTGCACTGCAATGGAGAAGGAAAGGCACAGGCAGAAATGCGTTGGTGTTGCAAATGATGAAAGAGGAAGGGAGCGTCAAGCCAAATGAGCCGTCGATTGGCCAGCCGGTGACATCATGTGTCATCAGGCCCCGCATTTCTCAATGCCAAGCCCCTGAAAACTTGGCATGCTCGAGGGCAAGCGGGAACCTGGAAGCTTAGCTCCGGCCGCTACCGATGCCTCTGGCTGCTGTAACCTGTAACCGGACGAACCTGTCCGACCAGAAAACCATCCGAACAAAGAATATTTCAATATTGCCAATCTTGAATATTAGAAGTTTGTGCTTCATGTTTTGTGAGTATTTTTTGTACTTCGGGGGGTCTTCAATTAAAACACTTGGAAGTTCTCGCATTGCCCTTCGGTCTTGATTTGAGTCGTGGTGTGTAACTGGGCAGAGAGAGCAAATGCCCGGCCCTCTGGGTACCAAGAAAACAACATGAAAGTGAAAATGAAAATGAACCAAAAAGCTCCCAATCAATATTGTGGTTAGGTTATCGACTGAGCCAGAATATACAAAGCAGGAGAGTGGATTAATCAGGTAACTAAGCAACGGCTATATCGACAATAACAACCATCAAGACTTTGGAAATGCACAAATAAATAAAAACAAACAGTAAAGCAACACATCAACCACAAAGTGCTTGAGCCGCTCACCCAACCCTCGTCACACGACCGTCTCTCAGACCGCCTTCTTGCCGGTGGTATGGGGTACCGAGGGAGTGATAGGGACCGACGTTGATGTGCCACCTCCCTTAGGGCTGCTAACGGACGACGTGCTGCCGCCGACAACAGGGATCGACGGGCCGGTGGGCAAGTGCGACTTGACTGGCACCGGAGCAGGATTCGTAGTCGGTGTCGAGATAGGGACCGTGGTGGTCTTGCCCGTGGTCCCGGTCGACCCGCCGCCGCCGCCGCCGCTGCCGCCGCTGCCGCCGCTGCCGCCTCCGCCACCGCCGCCGCCTCCACCACCTCCCCCGAGGCCACCACCTCCGCCTCCACCGCCACCGCCGACAGGGACCGCGGGATCCTGCACTACGAGATAGGATATCAGCCAGTAGTGCCCGGTGGGGTCTTGGACGATGCGGTGGGAGTAAGCCCCGAACAGGTCGTCAGCATATTGGTCAATGATGTTGGTGTGGTCAATGAGGGGGTGCGTGTCTTGGATCACGTCGAGGATGGGGTCGATGGCGGCAATGGCGATGGAGAGCTTGACGTGGTGGGCAGAGTCTAGGGCCAGAGGCTGGCCCTCGAGCTTGAGCTGATCGCCCTGAAGCTTGTTGCGGTACTCGGGGAACGTCTCGCTCGTGTGGTTGTACACCTTGAGCTTGATGCACCACTCGGTTCCGCCAAACACGGTAATGTCGTTCCACAGATTCTGGTTCACGTACGTCCGGTTCTCCACAATGGTTCGGCGGCCAAGGCTGATGAGGTACGCGCAGTAGTCGAGCTGTGCCCAACGCTCTCTGCAAGTGTGCCGTTGATTAGCTTCTGCTGCCGAGCCCCGACCAAGCATTTTTGAAGGCTGAGAACTGACCACCCGCCATTGCTCGGCGCGACGTCCCAGATTCAATTCTGCGTGTGAAGCCAGGTCTCGAGATGTCCAATCATCAGCGGGGGGCCTGCCATGGTGTTCGGAAATTGGTGAGAATTTAGAGAAGAGTTCGGGCTTTTTCAGGGTTGGGGATGCGAGACTGTGACTGTCCTGATTGAAAGCAAATGAAGAGTTGCTGCTGATATAAGTTCTCTCGACAGTCATATTACGCCATCTTTATCCTTGAAGCCTGCGAGTCTCTAGCCACTGATCTCGAGGTCCGTCGTCGCGACACGAGAGGAATATCGAAGGAGGACTCCCGAAGGTGCGCCGGGGATAGAAGCTGAAAGCTGAATACCGAAAAGGGCATGGCGGACGCTGGCAAGAGCAAGCCTCAAAAGCACAATAATAGCCGTGTCGAGGACGTATGACACCACGCCAACATAAGAACGGCATTGTAGTCGACAAGAACAACTGCGAACGGTATAAGGCCATGTTTCCCCGCACACGGTTGTTGCAGCAAGGACGAGTTCCATTGGCAACTCGGGTGAGTCTGAGGCGGTGGCACCTTTTTGGTCTTGATAGCTCGAAATGGCAGCCAACCAGAACAGGTCAGCTGCCGTCACGTCGTTTCTTTCGTCCTAGCCATTTCCGCAGGGCAGCCACTAGCTTGGCCAGAACGGTAGGGCTGAAGAGACGCAATGCAGGTGAGACAATAGTTTGACTTGGAGTCTGGGGTGCCTGTGCTGTAGTAGCATCGTGCTCACCACAAACGTGACCACCCCTCTATCCCATCTTGGTTTCTCGGCCGGCACTGAAAGATTGTCATATTGGCCGGTCTACGCTGGCTGGGATTCTTGTTCCTGGCAGTCTTGGGAAACTTGTTACCATACTTTCACCCGTCCCTTATCCTGACCAGCTAATTAGAGTCAAATCATCACACTCAGATCAGCCCACGTGTTTGAGCATTATGGATAGTATTTGCGAGTTTAGACTTCAGTAGGCTTTGATCAGTAGTTGCTGCACACAAGCATCACATCACACCCTTCCTCCCCTTTGTCACAGGGAGGCACCCTGTTTCAAGGCACGAACGACAGAACGGGTATACAGAACCTGCGACCAAGTTCACGGGCCTGCTTACCTTTGCTTCGTTATTACCGGTTCAGGAGGCCGTCTACAATTTGGTGGATATACGAACCCGTGCATCTGACGCGATCATGGAATAAAGAAGACTTCGATCGTTCGCTTGCTCGGTTGACCTACCGTCCAACGAATATGCATACGAGATATTTACTGCAGCAGTAAAGCAAGAGGACAGAAAACGTCGTCAAACCAGTACGAAACTTATACTATAATATTTGCTATTTTGACATTGAAATTTCGATAACAATAACAATGGCTGGGGAGAAACTCGGTTTTAGGTGTCGAGTTGTGGCCATTTTTATCAAGGGTGAATGAGGCCGGCATCGACGAAGCAAGGCCCTCGTCCCGGAAATCATCCATGGCGGTGGTGAAATTGCTCGGCCTAATTGATTTGACCGTGCGAGGAAGTCTATGAGACACATCACTTGCCGAAGGCGGAGAGCCAACCGTTGGGCCGATATTTGGTGCTTCGCCTCGTCCACTTGGTCTAGGCTGAAACGACCACGCCGGCCGCGCGGCCCACGGTCGGCGGAAAGTGACTCACGCCGCTGCTCCGCGAAGTTCAAGTATCTACCTAGTATATATTTCTTTTCCTTGAAATATTTATTGATTATCTCGTGTTGACAATAAACACCCCGGCCTTGACAGGAGGTGCAAACTGCAATCCACACGTTCCACTCACCATCTGTTCCCATTTACACCAGGCAGGCTACGACGTCAAACCACAACCCCAACCACAATCTCACACACAATGGCAGCATCAGCCGCGCCGCCCGACGACGCCGTCCCCGTCCCCGTCCCCGTCCTTGCAGACGTCGAGGCGCTGCTGCGGCCGCAGGCCAAATACAAAGCGCGGTCGCACGACACGTCGCAGGATGAGCACATCCCGCTACTACGGCGCCAGGATTTCATAAAGCCAACCGTGGTACTGCTCGGCGACTCGATGCTAGAGCGCATGACGACGACGGGCGAGTCGCCAAGCCTGATCGCGCCGTGGCCGTCGCCGGCCATGCTGAGCGACGCCGCACTGGCCGCGCTGGCGTCGGCAGACTCGGCCGAGCCGGACGCCAGCGAACCGCTAGCAGCAGCAAAACGAGCACGGCTACCAATGGCCAGACTAGACGGCGTGTTCAATGCCGGCGTGGGCGGCGACAAGGTGCAGAACATGTCGTACCGACTCGTGGGGAGCGCGGGCACGAGCGAGACTGAGGACCTACCGGCGCTGGCGTCACTGCTCGCGGCGCGCGGCGGCGTCAAGCTGTGGGTCGTGCAGGCGGGCACCAACAACCTGGCGCCCAAGAAGGGGCTGCGGGACGGCGACCTCGACGCGCTTCGGACGATGGTGCGTAGCCTGCTGCTCGTGCCGTCGCCGTCACCGGAGGTGGTGCCGTCCAGAGTCCTCCTAACTGGCCTGTTCCCGCGGAAGGACTTCCCGCGGGCGCTAACGGACGCGGCGAACGACAAGCTCGTCGACTTGGTCCGCAGCCTGAATGCGGAACCGGGAAACGAGCGCGTCGTGTTCTTGCCGCCGGCGGAGGACGTCCTGGTCGATTCTCATCTTGTTGACCATGTGCACTTGAGTCTGGAGGGGTATGTTATCTGGGTGCGGAAGCTGTTCCCGGCCGTGATAGATATGCTGCGGCGGATAGAGGAGGACGAGGTTGGCGAGACATGATTATTGTGATGAAACCCCCCCTGAGGTGATTAATTAGGTAGTTGGCAAAAAATAAAAATAAAAAGAGCTACTGTTCATTCAATTGGAACTGGGTAGATGATTTGGGAAAGCCATCAATAGGAAAAGGCGAGTAGGGGCGGATATTTGTGAATGAATGAGTGCTGGCTGCTTCGCAAGCAAAGAGAGTTCAGTTCGTTGGGAAGCCAAAAAAAAATAACCAGTCCGCCGTCTTCGAAGATGGCAAAAATTGGATGCACCGCGGATCGAACGCGGGACCGTCTGTAGAGCCGGGTGCCGAGGCATTGCAAAACAGAAATCATACCACTAGACCATGCACCCTGGATGGGGATTGGTGGAGGGGTGAACGCTAAACTCCTCTATAAAGGGGGGCAGATTTTGGTCCGTTGCCGACGCAACTCTCCGCCGCCATTGAGATTCAAGCAGCAAATAGTTTATACGGAGTTTCTTTTAGTTATTCTTAAACAACATAGCGCAGACAACGGAGATACTATTGCACTCTCAACAATATTGGTTATGATCGGAATTTGGCACTGCATTATTTAGTAGGCGTGGGTTAACTACGCATAGTGCATTCATACGCGGAACGAATTCCTCCCTCTCCACTAATTACTTTAGTACTTTATAAAGGTTCTCAGCAGCATCATAAAGCGTGCATTTTCCCGCTTTTACTATTTGCCTGTTCTGTTTCTAACTCTGAAAATGCTTCAGTGTCCAACCCTCCAGGGTTTCCAAAGTACTCATGCATCGTGAGGTTGACGGCTTGAACCTATTCAAGGCACACAGCCATTTGTCAACGACTCTTGGCAATCATGGCGTCGGGCTGTATCCCCTTCTTCTCAAACAAGACACCGGCCTTCCTCAGGACGTCCACCGTGTGCTTGACGACCTCGGGGTCGACGCCTTGGGTGCGGTCGGGGAACCTGACCGTCTTCAGCCACTCGCGCGCGTCCTCGACGGAGTAGTCGAGCTGCGTACTGATGTACTCGACGGCTTCGTCCTTGTTCTCGTTGAAGTGCTTGATGCCGAGGTTGAGCTTGTCGAGCAGATCCTCAACACGCTGGTTGAGGCTGGCGGCGCCGTCGATGAGGGTAGTCGAGGCGACAATCTTCCAGCTGCTCCAGGGGGTGTAGATCTCGCCGACGCGGCGGATCTCGCCCGAGTCGTAGTAGCGCTTGGAGGTGAAATGCTCCCACATGAAGAAGTCGGCGGCGCCCGAGTTGACGGCGGCGCGCAGCTTCTCAAACGTGTTGAGCACGACGAAGCCCTCAAAGGGCGACGCCGACTCGTGCGCCGTGCCGACGGCCGTCGTCGGCACCAGCCAGCCGCGCTCGTCGGCCAGCACGTGGCCCATAACGTAGCTGCCGGACCCGATGCGAGACACGCCGATCTTGCCGCCTTTGAGCGAGTCCACGGTGGTGATCTCGGGCCGGTCCGCGCCCGTCGAGATTGCCCAGCCTGATGATGGCAGGGGGTTCAGCCAGGGTGGGGACGGTGGGAAGCAGAAGCAGAAGCAGAAGCAGAAGCAGAAGCAGAAGCAGAAGCAGGGGTGACTCACACAGTGGCGTCTCGACATAGGTGCCGACGAGTTTGTAGCCTCCGTCGGCGACGTCGCTCTTTCCGAGGCCGGCAATCCAACCCTCGGTGAGGCCGATGCCGACGTCAATGTCGTGGGCGCGCAGGGCCGTGATCATGGCGCCGGTGCCCGAGGGGAACGGGATCAGCTCGGCGTCGAGCCCGTAGTGTTTCTTGGCAAAGAAGATGGGCGTGGAGAAGTGCTCGGGCACGTAGCCAATGCGCAGGGGTTTGGTTGCCATGGTATCGGCGTTGGCGTCGTCGGCGACTGTGTCGATGTCGATGTCGACGTCGTTGAGAATGTCGTGCTCGCTCAGGAAACAGACGGGCGAAAACATCGCAGCTCGCTCGCGGTCACTGGGATGACGTTTAGACTTTCAAGGCCTGTTCAGCTTATTAACCGATTGTACTCAGTGCCAATTGGCCGGCCTGGTGAATGCGATTGGATTGGGCTCGAATCTGGTCGAGTGGTCGCTCTGGAAATGACGCAACCTGAGTGGGGCACGGGCGGCGCGCTCCAACAACGTCAATCTGCAACGTCTGACTGTCTCGACTCCAGGCAGACGGGACCCACTGGCGGCAGAAGACCATATGCGCATGCCGCTTTGCCCCAATATCAATCTTTGAGCAATTCAACCCGTAATATCAGTCTCAACTTTGACTGCTCGCTCCCAACTCAAAACCCAACCCTCCCCTACAACGGAAATACGTGCACTCAAACGGGAAAACAGTCAAACACCACAAATCATCTCATGCAGAGCTTACTACTGCTTCGGAGTCATGAACTAATGCGGTGTGGATAGCGTTTCGTGGGCGTGCACTTACGTGCGAGGCATAGTCCGTGGGTATTCCTGCTCGGAAATGACATTGTCGCCAGCTCACAAGGGATAAAATGCAAGGCTGCTTTCACAGACGGAGCTCATATCCAGTAAACGATTCCCTTCGTTGAAATCTACACAATTACTCATTTAATAATGATCAAGGGTAGCCGAACTCAACCCCACTCAGCTCCCTCGGCCCTCGAGCCTCGGCCCTCGAGTCTATCAGCCTTTAGTTACAAGTCTAGGTAATCAATTAGAACTGACCTATTGTTTCTCGAGAGAGCCAATTCCGGGTTGATTTCCTTACAACGAGGCTTGTTCTGATCCAGACCTATAGTCTTGCGCTCCTTCCACAGTAAGGTATTTACCAAACGGGGAGTGCAAGGCTCCCGACCTATACGATCATGTGCTGCTACCCAATTGCAAGCCACATAACCTGCAGCGAAGCAAAGGACAATGATTTGCTCGTTTCCGACCCCGGCTGCTCGAGGTTTCTGTTCAAAATAGCCAACCCAACATGGAACCTCGACTTCTCGAGGTACCTGAGGTATTGCCTTGGACAAGTTCACCAACATCCCACTGAATGAAAGCCATGTCTTGACCCGCGCTGTCTTTCAGTTATCCTTCCCTCCCCGACGGCTCTGTCCGCTCCTCAAGCTGATTCCCCACTGGGATGAGCACGCGCCCATCCAATGCACGCTCTTCAACAGCCCGATACTCGTCTCGGGCGTGACCAGTCACCCTTTCGAAACCCTGAGCTACGTCTGGGGAAGCGCTGAGCTCACGCATTTTGTCTGCATCGACAACTGCCAGCTTCCCATCACGGCGAGCCTGCACGGAGCTCTCTCGCGCCTCAGAGACTCGTTTCTTGAAAGGATCGTGTGGGCCGATGCGATCTGCATCAACCAGGAGGATTTGACCGAGAGAGCACGCCAGGTCCATTGCATGGCCACCATATACGCCAAAGCGAGCCGCGTGTTGATGTGGCTCGGAGGGAAAGAGTTGCAGAGTGCGCTGGCCCCGAGACAATCCACAGGGCTGCTGATGAACTCTACACCGTGAGCGAACAGGACGAGGATCTCGCGGGCCGGAACACGTCTCTTCTCGCTCTAGTCGGGCGCCCGTGGTTCAGGAGGATCAGGGTAAGGCAACCCTACACATCGTTTTTTATGTGATACCCGAGTATCGGAAACCTTGACTCTTCTGGTATGATTAATCGTATTAAAAGGTGCTGCAAGAGGTCGCCGCCGCCCAGCACATTCTCGTCGTCTGCGGGCAGACCGAGTTGGATGGCTACGCATTTTGCGCCGGGCTCAACTCGCTCAATATGAATATGATGTACAAGAATGAAGTAGCTCTTGCAGGGCTGGTCCGTTCTACCACGTACCTCATTCGGCGCGTCGTCGTCAGACCAAAATACGTTCTCGGCGAGCCCAATGCCTTCTCCCTCCGTATTCGCCCCCTTGCAGAGCTGGTGGACATGTACAACACCCGCGAAGCCTCGGACCACCGCGACAAGATCTTCGCACTCCTCGGCATGAGCTCGGACCGCCAGTCGCACTCGACCCTATCAGTCGACTACACCATACCGTGGAAACTCCTCCTCCAGAAGCTTGTCCAGTCGTTGGCCGCCTGCGACTTGGCCGTGACAACGTGGGGCAACGAGGAGATTTCAGTTTTTGGGGCCACGGGTAGCGTCGTTGGGGTAGTCACGGCGGTGGGCCTTTCGCAAGGCGTTGAAGACAACCAAGGGGTAGTCGTCTTGCTGAGGACTCCCCCGGACCAGGAAAGCTGCGAGGCTCGGTAGACGCTACATCCATCTGCCACGCCGGCCAGAGTCGGCGACCCATCCACGTCATGCAGGGGTCCCTGAGACCAGCCATCGTGAGGCCCTGCCGTGATTACCACCGAGTTGTCGCACTCTCGGTCGCCCCGGCCACAGCCGACCGCCGCACAGCTGGAAACAGCCCTGCCGACTAGCAAGAGCTCATCGCATCGACAACGACATTTCCGCACAAGACCTTGCTCGTGTGGGATTGGGAACACGGGCAAGACGCTGGTGACGACGATGACTACGCCACCTTCATATGCCGGAGGCTGCCGACTTACGGTGACCGAGACCTGGAGAACCGGGCGGGCCAGCAAGTGAGATTACAGCGAGCCTTGGAAGTGGCGCGAGACGTAGATCAATGGAAGATGGAACCGTTCACCAAGATGCAGTCTGTGGTCATTGACACTATACACAAACTCAACGATAGACTTTCAGCAATAGATGTTATCACAAGAAGGGCTTTAGCCCACCTTGGGAAGTCTGGCGCAAACCGTCGAGATTCTACGCGGGATGACTAGATACCTAGGCTACGGAAGGAAAGAGGAAAAAGTGAAAGAAGGCCGGTTACCTCCTTATATTGTATTAGAGCTGGATGCAATTAGAACTAATTATACGGCAGTGGCATTGAAACACGGCAGCCACTCCTCCCGCAGGGCCTTGAGAAACAGCTGCGACGCGTGGTCAAAGTATCGCCCCTCGTCACCGGCTCCCCCACCGCGTAGGCCAACCATGTCCTGGCTGTGGGCGGCACCGGCGTGCAGCAGGCCAAACACGTCGGTGCCGGGCGGCGGGCGGTTGCACTTTGGGATGGCGGCGCCGGCGACGAGGCGGCGGCGCGGCGCACCGAGGTGCTGGTCGAGGCTGGACACGCTGAAGGCGCGCCACGGGTCGAACTCGCCGTGCGTGAACATCACGTTGGACGGCCGCATGTGCCAGCCGCCCAACGCGGCCACGAACCGCGGGTCCGGCGGTGCCGCGGGCGGGAAGCCACCCTGTCCTCCTCTTCCGTCCTCAGTCGTCTCTGGTGCTGTAGTCTGAGAGAACACGGTGTTGTTGACAAAGCTGGCGCGCGCCGCAGCGTAGCCGAGGAACTT